CCCTGGATCCCAATCCTATGGGTTCCCATCCCATGGATCCCTATCCAGTGGATCCCCATCTCATGGATCCCCATCCCATGGAACCCCATCCCATGGGTTCCCATCCCCTGGATCCCAATCCTATGGGTTCCCATCCCATGGATCCCTATCCAGTGGAACCCCATCCCATGGATCCCCATCCAATGCATTCCCATCCCATGGAACTCCATCCCATGGGTTCCCATCCTATGGATTCTCATCCCATGGGTTCCCATCCCATGGATCCAAATCCCATGGGTTCCCACCCCATAGATCCCCATCCCACCCTGGACAAACCTTACCTCCGTTGGACAAACAGAGGCTGTTGATCAGGATGCTTCCAGTTTTGTTGTGCTCATACCTGGGGACAGCAGAGAAGAAGGTGAAACACAACCAAACCTCTGCGGGCTCCAAGAAATGACCAAGAAATGCTCAAGAAATTTGAGCAGGAGCTCAAATTGTGTCATTGATCTTCTCCATTTCCTTTGGGAACTGGAGGGGTAGAAGCCTTGGATGTGCCCTGAGACACCTCAGGCACAAGGAAAAGGGAATTCTGCACCACATCTCCCGCTTATCTGCTGGAAATCATCTTGGTTGGAGACAACAAAGGGCAGGAGGGGTGGCAGGGACCTGTGGAGCAGCTCCTGGGCCACCGTGTCCCCGTAGTCGTGGGACAGGAGGTTGATCCGCTGGTGCCGGAGCCCGAGGTGTCGCAGCAGCCCCTCCACGATGGTGGCCTGCTCGAAGATGGAGTAGCCATGGGGCCTCTGCAAAAGTGGGAGAGGGGTCCCAGTGAGAGCCAGCAGGAGCCCACAGATTCCAGAAGAAATGCCCCAAGGGAGGAGTGTGGAAATATGGAATAAGGAAACAGCAGCTTGTGAGCCCAGACTCAGCGGTTGGGGTGTCCTATGATGTCCACAAGGCCATGGGAGCATTGTCCATGCTCCAGAGGGATCAAGGTGCATTTTGGAGTCCCACCAAATGCATCCACCACAAACCTTCCCTATCCCTTCCACTGTTGTAATGGTTTATCTCTTTTCCAAATGGGAGGAGAAAAAATAATTTTTCTCCTGGATGGCAAAAAATAATTTTCCGGAGTGCTGGGCTGAAAACAACCATGAAAATCCTCATGCCAGGGTACTCACAGGCTTGTCACTGAATCCAAATCCAAGGAAATCCAGGGCAATCACCCGGTGGAAGCGCTGGGTCAGCCCTTCCCAGATCTGGGAAGAGGAGAAATGCATTGAAAAAGCATCCAGTGGGAGCAGAGGATGGAAACATCTACAGGGATCAGCAGCCGTGGATGGATGTGCTCCTCCCCACCACCCCAGAGAACATTGCAGCTCCAAGAGAACATTGCAGCTCCAAGAAAACAGCAGCAGGTCAAAATTCCCCAATAAACAGCCACACCATCCCCCAAAAAAGCCAAGGAATTGTTGTGGCTGTTTTCCTGGACTGTGGGATATGGAAAGAGCTTGGATTTCACACTGGGAGAGGAACAAGGTGATATCCTGGAGCATGGTGGTACCTCCAGCAGGAACCAGGAATTCTCCTCTGGAGCATGGCCCACCCCTGCTGTGCTGCCTGCTCATCCCCAGGAGCTGAAAATCCTGGGATTTGCTGTCAGCTTCCAGCCCCCTCACCTTGCTCCAGTCGTAGCTGGACGTTGGGAAGCCGTGCAGGAGCACCACGACGTCCGAGCTGCCGACGGCGCCGCTGGAATCTGTGAGGAGAACGGGACACCCCGGAGTCAGCTCTTCCCAAAATTCCTCCCTTCTAGGATGGGAATTACTCATCCCACTGGGAATCCACCTCTCCCTCTGCTCCCCAAAACCTAGGATGGATTTGAGTCCCACCACAGCTTTCCTTCAGAAACCTCACCGGCCAATCCAGGGATTGATTTCAAACTGATTGATTTTAAATCAATTGATAAAGGGATTTAATTAGCCCAAATTAATTCCAGCAGCCTCTGTGCTGCTGCAAAAAGGGTTTCCAGTGTCTTTTCCATGTTGGCATCCATGGGAGGATCTTGGGATCCTTCCCACCAAGGAACAAGAACCAACTTTCCCCAGTGAAATGTTCTGACCCATCCCTGGTGGATCCAGGAGGGATTTGTCACCACCTGGCCCAGGTTTAGGAACGTCCCCATGGCCACGAGGGATGGGTGGCTCTGTCACCTCTGTAGAAGATGTTCAGGTCCTTGTAGGTGAAGAAGCTCCCGGAGGATTTCCAGGAGCGGAGCGCCGGGGAAAGCTGTGGGGGTGGGATGTGCAGGTACACGGCGAGGAGGGGCACGCCCAGCAGCCCCACCTGCAGCCACCACTCCTTCATCCTGGGGGACACCGCGGGACACCGGGGTCACCCCGAGCTCCGCACTGAGCTCCCTGGGTCCCCATAAACCACCTCCACATCCCCAAAACTCCCCCTTTCCTATAACCCCTTTCCATCTCCCCAAACTCCCCCATTCCCAGAACCCCTTTCCATCTCCCCAAACTCCCCCATTCCCAGAACCTGCATGTCCCCAGGGTGGCAGATCCAGCAAATGTTTGGGGTCTGAGAGGGAAGGTCAGTCTCATTTGGGGTCTGAGGGGGACTGTGGGGCCATTTGGGGTTTGAGGGGGAACAAAGGTCCACTGTGGGGTCTGAGGGGGTCTGTGGGGTCATTGGGAGGCTGTGGATCCATAAGGGGTCTGAAGGGGGGCTGTGGACTCATGGGGTTCTGAGAAGGGGCATGACCCCACTAAGAGTCCACGGGGGGCTGTGGGGACATTGGGGGTACTGGAGGGGCCATGGGCTCATTGGGGGGGCTTCAGTGGGGCCTGNTTTCCTGGACTGTGGGATGTGGAAAGAGCTTGGATTTCACACTGGGAGAGGAACAAGGTGATATCCTGGAGCATGGTGGTACCTCCAGCAGGAACCAGGAATTCTCCTCTGGAGCATGGCCCACCCCTGCTGTGCTGCCTGCTCATCCCCAGGAGCTGAAAATCCTGGGATTTGCTGTCAGCTTCCAGCCCCCTCACCTTGCTCCAGTCGTAGCTGGACGTTGGGAAGCCGTGCAGGAGCACCACGACGTCCGAGCTGCCGACGGCGCCGCTGGAATCTGTGAGGAGAACGGGACACCCCGGAGTCAGCTCTTCCCAAAATTCCTCCCTTCTAGGATGGGAATTACTCATCCCACTGGGAATCCACCTCTCCCTCTGCTCCCCAAAACCTAGGATGGGTTTGAGTCCCACCACAGCTTTCCTTCAGAAACCTCACCGGCCAATCCAGGGATTGATTTCAAACTGATTGATTTTAAATCAATTGATAAAGGGATTTAATTAGCCCAAATTAATTCCAGCAGCCTCTGTGCTGCTGCAAAAAGGGTTTCCAGTGTCTTTTCCATGTTGGCATCCATGGGAGGATCTTGGGATCCTTCCCACCAAGGAACAAGAACCAACTTTCCCCAGTGAAATGTTCTGACCCATCCCTGGTGGATCCAGGAGGGATTTGTCACCACCTGGCCCAGGTTTAGGAACGTCCCCATGGCCACGAGGGATGGGTGGCTCTGTCACCTCTGTAGAAGATGTTCAGGTCCTTGTAGGTGAAGAAGCTCCCGGAGGATTTCCAGGAGCGGAGCGCCGGGGAAAGCTGTGGGGGTGGGATGTGCAGGTACACGGCGAGGAGGGGCACGCCCAGCAGCCCCACCTGCAGCCACCACTCCTTCATCCTGGGGGACACCGCGGGACACCGGGGTCACCCCGAGCTCTGCACTCCCACTGAGCTCCCCACCACCTCCACATCCCCAAAACTCCCCCTTTCCTATAACCCCTTTCCATCTCCCCAAACTCCCCCATTCCCAGAACCCCTTTCCATCTCCCCAAAACTCTCCCATTCCTATAACCCACCTCCATGTCCCCAAAACTCCGCCTTTCCCATAACCCCTTTCCATCTCCCCAAAACTCCCCTGTGAACCACAACACTCCCCCATTCCCAGAACCCCCATGTCTTCAAAACTCCCCCATTCCCATAATCTGCATGTCCCAAATCTACCCCATTCCCAGAACCCCTTTCCATCCTCCCAAAACTCTCCCATTCCCAGAACCCCTTTCCATCTCCCCAAACTCCCCCATTCCCAGAACCTGCATGTCCCCAAATCTACCCCATTCCCAGAACCCCTTTCCATCTCCCCAAACTCCCCCATTCCCAGAACCTGCATGTCCCCAAATCTACCCCATTCCCAGAACCCCTTTCCATCTCCCCAAACTCCCCCATTCCCAGAACCCCTTTCCTGTCCCCAAACTCTCCCATTCCCAGAACCTGCATGTCCCCAGGGTGGCAGATCCAGCAAATGTTTGGGGTCTGAGAGGGAAGGTCAGTCTCATTTGGGGTCTGAGGGGGATTGTGGGGCCATTTGGGGTTTGAGGGGGAACAAGGGTCCACTGTGGGGTCTGAGGGGGTCTGTGGGGTCATTGGGAGGCTGTGGATCCATAAGGGGTCTGAAGGGGGGCTGTGGACTCATGGGGTTCTGAGAAGGGGCATGACCCCACTAAGAGTCCACGGGGGGCTGTGGGGACATTGGGGGTACTGGAGGGGCCATGGGCTCATTGGGGGGGCTTCAGTGGGGCCNCCCCCCCCTCCCCTCAGGCCACGCCCCCTCCCTGAGCGCGGGACGGGCGGGGCGGAGCCTCCGCGCGCGCTCCCGACGGGGCGGGGCGTGGCCGCGGCCGCGCGCGCGCCGCTCTCACCTGCTCTCAGGTGCTGCCGCGGGCGCGCGCCGCCATCGCGCTCTCCCGGCGGGGCGTGGCTCGGCCGGGGAGGCGTGGCCTCCTCCCCCGCGCACGCGCAGTTTCCTCCTTCCCCCTTCCCCGCCGCTTCCCTCCCGCCGCGTCCCTCCCGTTGCCGGGCGACGCGCGCGCTCCCCGCCGCGCGGGCTGTGATTGGCTGCAGGCGCGGCGGGCGGCCAATGGCGGCGGGCGTAGTTGCGGGGTGGGCGGGAGGCGGGAGCGCGGCCGCGCGTGAGGGACGGGCGGAGCGGGCGAGCGGCCGTGAGGGGAGATGTCGGCTCGGGGCGGCTTCGGCGACCCCCAGGTGCCGTGAGGGGCCTTCCCTTCTCAACACCCTCCGGGCAGCGAGGGGGGACACGGGGCGGGGCAGCCCCCGGAGCCGGGAGAGCTCCGCACGGGGAGAAAACGGGAGAAATTCTCCTTTCGAGGCTTTAAATCGGCGGGGATTTAAATTTAATACTGAGATGGGCATTCAGGAATTGCTCCCTCGTTTTTCTGTCTCTGAAACCCCTTCAAATCGCTTTTTCTGCTAATTTTTCTGGTTTTTATTTTATTTTTTTTTAATTTTGGCTTCTCGTCTTTTCCATTTTGAAACAGCTTCTGACCCGGCGCATCCCCTCGAATCCCAAGTATCAACATATAAAAACTCGTCTGGATACCGGTAAGTGAAATTGCTGTGGGGTAAAACCACCCAAAATTGGGGTTGGATGACAGAAAAATAGAATTAATGTCATAATTACCTCTGCCCGCAGCTAATTCATGCTAACACTGCAGAATCCTTATCGTGGTTATGGTTTGTATCACCAAATATTATAAAAATGATATAGATTTCCTATTTACAGTTATAAAAATTTTAAACATTTCTTATTTACAATTTCCCTTCAAATTTGAAATTCAAACAAGCACGAATTACACAGATTGATGTGTATTTCTATATTTTTTATGTATTTATATATATTTATCTTCACACACCACCGTGCACCCCCCTGAAAATTGACATTAAATGCTCTGACCACGTGTTTGAAGCCTTTATTGTCTTCAAACGTGTTTATTTTTTTTTTCTCCTCTTGCTTTTAAAGAAGAATTTGGGGGTTAAATGTGTTTAAAGTGGGTCTGTTGTGCTGGTTCCCATAGAAATTACTGCTCTTGGAATTTCTCTCCATGGACTTGCCCTCTATCTTATCAAGGGTGTGAGCCAAGATCATTATTTGGGGCTGTCTTTGTGAGGTGTTTTTTGTTGTTAAAGCAGCTGAATTTTATCCAGTAACATTGTCTTGTAGCATCCTCACCAAAATGTTGGGAAAGGAACAGCAGATCCTTGGATTTTTTCTGTTTGATTCTACTTCCCTTGAGAGAAAAGAGGAAAATTGTGGCATTTTTGTACCTTTTGTTGCCACTGGGAAGGAGGATCTGCAGCAAACAGCTGTTCCCTTCAAAGCAATTCAAATTTAATTGAAGAAAATAAATAATTGTAATAAATTGATTTTTTTTTTCTTCTTGTTACAGGAAATAGTTTGTCAAAATACATGGAAAAATTGGAAGAGATCAAAAGAAGTGAGTACCTGGGGAGGAGCAGGATGGGTTAAAAATGGGTTGGTTCAAAACTCCAAGAGCAGGAGATGAATTCCAGGAGCTTTTCCTTGGAAATCTCCACAGATTTAATTTAAAAATCCGAGCAGGATTCTTCCAGATCCTTCTTTGTTGTTGGGTTTTGTTATTGGGAGCTCTCTGAGCTAAGAAATCCAGGCTAGACTGATCTGGGAAGATTTATGGATAATTCCTGGGACTTTTATTTCACTTTTAGGTCACAACTTGAGCTCTTAATGTTCATATAATTTAAATTCCTGTCTAAATACCCCAGGACAGGAAAAAACCAAGCTCATTCCTTGTGTTTCCATTGATTTCACCAGCACTAAACTTTGGTATTTTGAAGCCTTTATGTTGTTCAGACTAACAAAGGCCCAAATTATTTTTATTTTCCCACCAAAACCAGGCTTTTCAAAGAATTTTTCCCAATCAAACCAGTGATTTATGACTTCATTCCCAGATTATTCTCCCCTAAAGAGCCAGGAAAGCTCTTCAACCTCAAAGCTGCATTTGTGGAGGTGAAAAAACCCCTGAATTGAGCAGAAAGCTGCCTTAATGAGGGTTTGAAACGTTCAGGTTTGGTTCTCAGCCCCACTTTATCTGTGCAAAACGAGCCTTTGTTCCTGGCTTGTTTGTTGGGTTTGGGCTGGTTTTTTTCCAAACACTGCAGGTCTTTGGGGGGGAAAATGAAAAAGGAATGACCTTGAGCTTTCCAGAATGCTCTGTTGACTGAGATTTCAGTGCTGGACACTGCCTGGCTTTTCATTTGTGTTGAAAATCTTGTTTTTTGTGCGTTCCCAATCTCGCCGCGGATCTGTTCCACGCCGTTCTTTTATTCCCTCCTCTCTTTTTATTTTTTTTTTTTTGGAGGCCAGGGAGGAACTTTCTCATTCTCTGCAGGCTGAATGGCCACGTTGTGTTCCCAGGGAGTGGAGGAAGTTCTCCCCCTGGGTTTCTCAGGGATAGATGACACCCTTTGGATGCAGATTCAAATCCCCAGCACAGGCACCTCTCTGTCCCTTATGTAACGTGAGAGATTTAAACCCGCGCCATCAAAAATCAAAGAGCTGCACCCACCAGCATCCATCCTTTGGAGCATTGATTGGCTTGAGGACACGCAGGAGGTCTCTTCCTTCTCTCTGCTGTCGTTTCCCTCCTCTCCAAAAGCCCTGAGGAGCCCATCCTTGGAAAACAGAATCATTCCAAGCAAAACCATGTCAGAAAATTCCAACGGATCCGCCAGGACCGGACCGGGTACGTGGGGTTGCTTTTGGAGCTGGAAGCAGCACTTGTGAGCTCTCTGGGAAGGCATTTGGGGTGGTAAAGGCAAGATCTAAGGCAAAGAGGCTTTTTTTGGGGTAAAAAGTCCTTGTTTGAGGTGGGAAGGAGCCATCCAGGAGCTGCATCGTTTGCAGCGGTTCTGCTTCGTTTTTACCCATCCAGCACTTCCCGAGCTTTGCTGCTTTTATTTGTCCTTCTAAATGAAATTTATTTGCCATGACAGAAAGGCTCTTTTTTGGCCTTTGCTGGGCAATTTTAATCCTTGAGCAGATGAAACAGGAAATAATTACAGGAGATAATTGTTGCTGGGGTTTTTTTGAGTTAAAGGGAGATTTAACAACCTCAGGTTGTTTCAACCTGAGGTTGAAAATCAGGTGGTTTTGCAAGAACCACGAGGCTCATTTCCCATTTAACTGACATCCTGAAATTCAGTTTCTGCACCTCCTCATCCTCCAGTCCATTTTCTGCCCCTCCTGTGCTTCAGCCCCGTGGTTTGGATGTGCAGTGGATATTTTGGAAGGGCTCCTTTTTTCCTAGGACAATTTATGAGGATCAAGGAGGTGCTTTTTTTTTTTTTTTTTTTTGCAAAAATCCAAATGATTTAGGGTAGGGTGTTGAATTTGGGAACTCTGAATGTGTTGGGAAAGGATCTCAGCCTCCAGCATTCCCGTGGCTCTCTAAACACAATTCAGCTGGAGAATTTCCATAAGCAAATCCCACAGGAATTTTTTTGTGTGGTGGCTGCAGGAACGTGCATGGGAGCCCTTCCCCCTTTTCCCTCCCCTAAGCTGATGGAGCATTCAGCAGATGGTTTTAGAGGATTTAGGATCGTTGAACTGAGTGGATTTGCCAGAGATCCTGAGCTCCATTGTTATCCCTGGACAGCTGGAGAGGGAGCAGCTCCTTCCCAGCCCTGCGTGTCCCAAAGGACAAAGCTCCCACTGCTTCCCAGGACAGGTTACTCCATATCAAGATGTTCCTCCTGATACCCATCCTGGCTTCTCTTTCCTCCTCCCCACACCTTTTGTTTCACTCCAGGAGGTTTTTCCCTTCCTCTGCAGGACCTGGGTGGGATCAGGCTCCCACCTTGGCTCTGGGAATCTCTGCTCTGGATCTTTGCCAGCAGCCCTGCTCGGTTTTCTTCCTCTTTAAGCTGTGGCTTCAGGATTAAGATTCAATTAGGCCAGTTTCTTGTATTAATTACCCATTAAGACTCAATTAGTCCAGTTTCTTCTGTCAGTTATCTGTTTCTGGAGGCATCCATGTCAGCAAATGGAAGAAATCAGAATTTAATTGCTAGATAAAGTACAAAATCTTGAATTTTTGAACTGTTAAGATGAAACCTGCCTGTTTAGCTTGGTATTTGCAAAAACGTGATGCCCCATGCTCTGATACTGCTGTAATTTACACAAATTAAAAATGAAGGTAAATTAATCTCTTGGTTTAAGGAGCTTTGTGACTCCAATGGGCTCCAAAGAACAGCAGGGAAAGGGGGAATTCCTGAACTGCTTCCTGCCCCAGCACCATGGACAACATAACTTCATATTTGAGTCTAAAAGCAACTTAAACCTGCCTCTTCCACTTCATCATATCTGGACAAGATCTCTCTTTATAACTGGTATTAATTAAAATCTCTCTTCATATCTGGGATTAATTAAACCTTCTCTTTATAACTGGTATTAATTAAACCCTTTCTTTATAACTGGCATTTCACAAAGTCTCCAGGTTTGCTGCTCTCTTGCTTCAGCACAAACCTGCCCTGAATTCCTGCCTGGCTGCAGAAGAGTCTTGGAGAAAAGCTGGGATTAAGCCATGACCTGGTGTCTAAAAAACTGGGAATGGACTGAAAATTTACCTTTGTTTTGTTTTTGTAGATTACAGGTATAAAAAGGATGAGCTGTTTAAGAGGCTGAAGGTGACAACTTTTGCTCAGTTGGTACGTACAGATCCCTCTCTGGCCTCCAAAATCTTTTAGGAGCAGCATTTTTCCTTGGAATAAAAATTCCTCTGTCATTTTTTAGCTTTAGTTGTAAGTATTCTGTCTTGGCTTCTTCCTGCTTTTAATAAAAACAAATAATTCATTTCCACGGTGGCCAAATGCCTTTAATTACAAACTAAAGTTTGTGGTGACTCCATCTTTGAAATTTATTCCTTATTTGATTTGTCTATTAACTTAAAAGGATTTTCAAGCATCTTGCAAAAGAAAAAGGCTGTGTAAAACAGCACCTAAATCTGAGTTTTGTGTCTGCAGCCCTCCCTGACCCCAGGTTTAACTGCAGAGAGTGGGGACTTGGGACTTCAAGGCTGTCTGTCCATTACTTTATTTTAAAGCAGTGAATCATCATATTTTAAAAAATTAAAAATTGAACAGGAAATAAAGAACTGGGGAGTGCTGGTTCAAGAAAACTGCTTCAAACTAGGAAAAAAAATCCCCAAATTGTCTTCTCAGGAGAGAAGGAAAGGGAAGGTTAAACTCGGGGATGTGAAGAGTGGGATTCTGCAGGCTCGGATTTTTTTTCCCTGGATTGTTTTCCTTGAGCTGCTCCCTGCTGTGGATGTGGGGATCAGTGTCTGCTTGTTTCTTGTGCCCTGCAGGTTCTCCAGGTCGCCTCTCTGTCCAATGAAACCTTAGAAGTGCCCAACGAGGAGCTGCACAAGCTGCAAGGTGACAGCACTGATGGCAGGGACAGAGGGGGAGAGCTGGGGCTCACTGCCAGGCCGTGGGGTGCCAGAGCTGCTCTCACATTTGTAGGGTTTTTAGATGAAGGAAGAAATGATGAATCTGATTCTTTGTTCTTAGAAGGCTAATTTATTACTTTAAGATATTATATTATATAAAAGAGTGCTGTACTAAACTATACTAAAGAATAGAGAAAGGATACAGACAGAAGGCTAAAAGATAATAATGAAAACTTGTGACTCTCTCCAGAGTCCAACACAGCTTGGTCATAATTGGCCAATAAGTCAAAACAATTCACATAAAACCAATGAAACAATGTCCAACCACATTCCAAAGCAGCAAAACACAGGAGAAGCAAATGAGATAAAATTGTTTTCCTTTTTCTCTGAGGCTTCTCAGCTTCTCAGGAGAAGAATCCTGGGCAAAGGGATTTTTCCAGAAAATGTGACTGCCACAAGCTGGCACTGCAGCAGGGTTTAATCAGGAGGAGAAATGGAAAAATAAAACTTCACCTGTGGCCTGGGAGTAGAAACACTCCTAAAAAAAGAAGGTTTGCAAGTAAGAAAGGCCTCGTGCTGGCAGTAACATAATCCACATCAAAAACTCTGTTTTATTGACTTCTTCAAATGGCAGCTCAAGCCCTAAAAAAATCTGTTGGCTCGTTATTATTTTAAATAAGGAGGCTCTGGGTAAATTCTCTTGGTTAAGAGGATGAAGATAAAGCTGTCACACTTTTCTTTCCAGGAATAGAAACTGCCCTTAAAACCTGCTTGTTTACCTCCTGCAGCTCCTTATCTCCTCGTGGCCTCTTCTCTCCCCAGATGCTGGTGCTGCGGGTGACGATGCAGCGGGGACAAACGGCAAAGGGAGCCCCGAGGGGACAGCCAGCCCTGTCCTGTTCCTGAACAACCCGGGAGCCGGGGAATCCCTTCGCTCCACGCTGCAGAGGTGCCTCACATTAACTCCATTTTCTTCCTGCCTTAGCTGATGATTGTTTGAGCCCAGCTGCTGGCGTTAAATTGCTGCTAAGTGGTTTTATCCTGTATTTCTCATTAAAGCCTGGGTTTGTAGGTGAGAGGGAGGGGTTGGGCAGGATTTGCTGTTGGAATGGGTTTGGATTAAACAGCAACCCGACATTGTTGTCACTTGATGATGGTCTGACAAGGAAATGTGTTTGTGGGATTCCATCCAGACCCCCACATTCCAGAATTCTGGGGATAACACAGTGCTCTGGTCAACTCAGGCATGTGCATTCCTGTTGGTGATGGTTTTGTATGGATATGGAGGGACAGGACACAGGGAATGGCTTCAGAGTGACACAGGGATATTGGGAAGGAATTCCTGGCTGGGATGGTGGACAGGGGCTGGAATAGAATTCCCAGTGAAGCTGGAGCTGCCCCTGGATCCCTGTTAGTGTCCAAGGCTGGGCTGGACAGGGCTTGGAGCACCCTGGGATAGTGGGAGGTGTCCCTGCCCGTGGCAGGGGGTGGAATGAGATCCTTAAGGTCCCTTCCCACCCACACCATTCTGGGACTGAGAACAATTCCAAACCCACCATGTGAAGGGATCCCAGGATGGTGCTGGAAGAAGAAGCTTTATCCCAGCTCTTCCCCAGCCTGGGAAGTGGTGGAGAGACACAAAAGCATTTCTCCACTATTCGTTCCCTTTGCAGTGTGATCAGTGGGGTTGGGGAGCTGGACGTGGAGAAGGATTCTCCAAAGGAGGAGGACAGCCAGGCCAAGGAGAGGCCTTATCCCGACTGCCCGTTCCTGCTGCTGGACGTGCGGGACCGCGACGCCTACGAGCAGTGCCACATCGTGGGAGGTGAGCAGCACGGGCTGCAGCTCTGGGCCACGTCCCTGCTGGAGTTTGTCCCCCACTGGGACATCCCTGGGTGTTCCCAGTGCTTCCCCAGCACATCCCTCCTTCCTGGGAGGGGATGAGGGGCCTGAGCTGATGTTGATCCCATACTCGGTGGGTTCTCAAGGCTGTTGTATCCCAGGCTGTTGGTGTTCAGCCTCTGGATAATTTTCCCTCTTTTTTTCCTTTCTGCAGCTTATTCCTATCCCATTGCAACGTTGTCTAGAACCATGAATCCCTATACAAATAATATTCTGGAATATGTATCCTTTACATGGGAACGTGGAGGGATGTTGGTGGGAGCTCCCAAAATCAATTGGAGCTTATCCAAGCAAAGTTAGGGATCTCAGAAAGGGTGAGACAGGAGGTGGAGTTACCTGGTGCAGCTCCACTGCCTCCATCAGATGCTGGATTCTGCTTCCTCAAGGTTCCTCTTGACTCCAGTGGGAGCTGCCTGGATTTGGCATTTCCCAGGATTTTGGCTGCTGGAAGGCCGAGGCAGACTTGGGCACTGCTGTCCTGCTGCTGCTCCAGGGATGCATCCATCAAATCCTTTGGCTTCCTGTCAGCACCTTGATGGGATTGGGGACAGACAGGATTATTAAACGGGATTAGGCTGATCATTCCCAGGCTGTTGATTCTGAGGGGAGGTTGTAAACAAAGGGGCTGTTGCCATTCCCAGTCTTCAAGCACTGCTGGATTCAGTGGGAATTAAGCTGTGTCTGGCAAGCCTCAGCCACTGAGAATTCCGCAGGGAGAACATTCCTGCTTGCAAGCCAAGTATGGAGTCTTTCCCTCCCCAATCCCATTAGTCTCTTTTGCTTCCTAAAATGTTTCAATATCCTCTTAAGTTCAACAGTGACTCCTTAACAATTCCCATGGCAGAAAAACGCCCATGGAAAAATCATCATCGTGTACGACAACGACGAGCGCTTGGCGAGCCAGGCGGCCACCACCATGTGCGAGAGGGGCTTCGAGAACCTCTTCATGTTATCTGGGGGTACGTGGGGCTGGGAGAGCTCCCCCAGACCTCCTGGGGAAAAGGGACAGTGGGGAGCAATGTATGGAAGCTGGAGATGGGAAAGATCTGGGTTGTGGAATCACGGGATGGTTTGGGTTGGAAGGAAACTGATGGATCATCCAATTCTAACCCCTGCCATGGCAGGGACACCTCCCACTGTCCCAGAACGTCCAGCCCCAGTGTCCAGTCTGGCCTTGGACACTGCCAGGGATGCAGGGGCAGCCCCAGCTGCTCTGGCAGTTCCAGCCCAACCAGGAATTCCTCATGGCCAAGATCCCATCCATGGCTGCCCTCTGGCAGTGGGAGCCATTCCCTGTGTCCTGTTCATCCCTTGTCCCTTGTCCCCAGTCCCTCTGCAGCTCTCCTGGAGCCCCTGCAGGCCCTGCCAGGGACTCTGAGCTCTCCCTGGACCCTTCCCTTTTCCAGGGGAACATTCCCAGCTCTGGGAGCATCTCCACAGCCATCCTCTGGGCTCTCTCCAGCACCTCCACTTCCTCCTGCTGTTGTCCCCAGAGTTGGACTCCATGTCACCTGAGCAGGGCACAGGGACAGAGTTCCCCCCTCTCCTGCTACCCACAGTTCTCCGTCCAAACTTTGGACCCCCAGCTCCATGAATCCCTCATAACTGGTCCCTCCTGACCCATCCAGCTGGGATAACAGCTGCTCTGTGTCCGTTAAAAGAATGAATGGGGATATATTTAATGAAGTATCTTCAGGTACATTAAGGGCAGCTGAAGTTGATTGACCTTTTATGTGGAGTTCAGTCATGCACTAATACAGTACAGGATTTGAAAAATATAAAAGCTAAAATTCTAAGGCATCACCAGAACGTGCTTCAACCTCATCATGGAATGGTTGGGTGGGAAGGGACCTCAAACCCCATCCATCCCACCATGGACAGGGACACCTTCCCCTATCCCAGGTTGCTCCAAGCCCATCCAACCTGGCTGGACGCATCCAGGGATGGGGCAGCCACAACTTGTGGACAGCCAGTTTGTGATTTGGGGTTGTTTTCCCCACAGGCCGCCTTACCCGGGGTGTTTCAGGCCGCGATTCCAAGCTCTCATCCGTGAGGAGCAACCCCAGCCTCCCCAGCACTGCTCGCACCGTGGGATCCCTGAGCAGCCGCTCCCACAGCAGGACCAGCATCCAGAACAGGCCCTGGAAATAAAGGAGTATCCAGGTTTTGGGAATCCTGAGCAGTGCAGCCCCTTTGTGGTTTTAGGAATCGGCAGGGAAAAGCAGCCCTGGTGAGAATGGGCAGCTCGGGTAAGGCTGGGCAGCTGGGATGGTGTTTCCTAAAAGCAGGAATGGCATCACTTGGGGTGCAGGGCACAACAGAGGTGATAGAACTGGTTTTGTAGGGGAGGGAGAAAACTCCTAGTAAAGGCTGGCACCAGTAGAAACTGTTCCACAAAGTTTTTAGTCCAGCTGAAGGAATTTGTGTCCATAAATTCCTGGGCCGTGCCTGGAGCTATGAGGGTGAACAGGCCACAAACCATCTGTGAGCATGAACTTTGGTGGTTTTAGCAGAGATAAAGACACTCAGCAACTTGCCAAAAGTGAGAGAAGATCCTGGAAGGGTTGTTTGTTGGGTTTTTTTAAAATAAATTATGATAATGAACAGAAGTATTTGTAATAAAGATGTTTTTTATTGCCCAGTTGGTGCTGTGACAGTCGTGCTTGCTCATGGACACTTTGTGAATAGTTGTGTCTTTTTCAAGGTGAGCTGGAGGAGAATAACTGGAATTTTTTTTTCCCAATGACTCCTTTGCCAGTGGTTTTTTAGGAATTTCTTTAAGGTTTAGGGTGGCTGAAGGAAAATTTGCTGCTGCTGCCTCACCAGGGTCCCTAAAACCCAGCAGGGCCCTGGAATCAGAACTGAACAAGGTGAAGGTTTCCTGGAAAGTGAGTAGCACAGTGTTCCTTGAATTGGTGCTTCTGGATAACCTGGGAATCCTCTGAATTTCCTGAGCTGCCTATGGGACACCTGGGAGGGGATTTTGGGGGGATTCTGCTCTCCAGATTTTCCATCTGGCATTGCTGAGCCTGCTCCTGCTTTGGTTATCATGGTCTTGTGGGGTTTGTGTGTATTTTTTCCCCCTTTTTGAAGCAGACAATCTTCAACACATCCCAAAACTCACTGGTGATTTTGGGATAATTCTGGTGAAAGGACAAAAAGTAGGAGAAATGGCATGTAATTTCCTGTTTGGGAGATTAGGAGTCAACATCCCTGAGCACATGTGTCTTTTATTGTGATTGTGAGTGTGAAATCAGACAATGCTGGTAGCAGGACTGGCAGGTCCTGCTGCTGTGGGAGTAGATTTTTCCAGCTCCATGAGCTCTTGGCAGTGTCTTTGCATTGGCTAAAATCCTGATTTTGGTGTCCAGCTGTGGGAGACAGATCCAGAGTCCCTGGCTGCTCCGTGCTGCATGAAAACCTCCTGGTGAAACTTGGATAAAACTGGCTTGAGTTGTTTGAGATCCTCCAAATCCAAGGAATCAAAGCAAGGACTGGATGTACTTTCCCACCATCTCAATGGATTTGTGTGGATTTGGACTCTTGGTGTTGTTTGGAGCAGAGTCAAACTCCGTAGAGGCTTTAATTGTTTAACTTAATAAAATGTGAATTACAGCATCTGTTTGGGTGATTTATTTGCAGCTTTGAGAGCTGTGGAGAGCCTGGAAAAGCTGGGAGTGAGCAGGGGCTCAGCTCCCCATTCCCTAGGGATTGCAGCAGGTGAGGAGGGGTCACACAGTCAGAAAAGTTTGGCTGGGAAAGGGACCTTAAAGCACATCCAGGTCCAACTCCTGGACGCCTCCCACTGTCCCAGGCTGCTCCAGCCCCAGTGTCCAGCCTGGCCTTGGGCACTGCAGGGATGCAGGGGCAGCCCCAGCTGCTCTGGCAATTCCAGCCCAGCCAGGAATTCCTCATGGCCAAGATCCCATCCATGGCTGCCCTCTGGCACTGGGAGCCATTCCCTGTGTCCTGTCCATCCCTTGTCCCCAGTCCCTCTGCAGCTCTCCTGGAGCCCCTGCAGGCCCTGCAATGTGCTGGAAGCTCTCCCTGGATCCTTCCCTTCTCCAGGGGAAAACTGGCTTGAGTTGTTTGAGATCCTCCAAATCCAAGGAATCAAAGCAAGGACTGGATGTACTTTCCCACCATCTCAATGGATTTGTGTGGATTTGGACTCTTGGTGTTGTTTGGAGCAGAGTCAAACTCCGTAGAGGCTGAGAGGTTTAATTGTTTAACTTAATAAAATGTGAATTACAGCATCTGTTTGGGTGATTTATTTGCAGCTTTGAGAGCTGTGGAGAGCCTGGAAAAGCTGGGAGTGAGCAGGGGCTCAGCTCCCCATTCCCTAGGGATTGCAGCAGGTGAGGAGGGGTCACACTGCAGCTCTCCTGGAGCCCCAATAAATCCTCACGACCTCATGTCCCAGAGCCCAATTCTCTTTCCACCCTCTTCCAGATCAAAGGGAAAACCACCACCTTCCTTCCTTTTTCTTCCTGCTATTTTCATGCCCTTTCCATCAATTCCTTTTCCAGGCCACTGACCCAGCACACCCGGCACCAACTCCAAAAGGGCTTTTCCACCCAATTTGGGAAAAAAGAGGAAAACAACCACAAGCTTTTCTCATCCTTCTTTCCATTTATTTACTGATTGCCTTCTTCCCTCTCTCCAGCTGCTCCAGCCATGATCCCAGCTCAGTAGGGGTGGTCCCGGGCGTGCTCCATGATGACCTTCAGCGCCAGCCAGGTCTCCTCGGCGGTGGGAACGATCTGTTTGGCAGGCAGCAGGAAGCCGTAGCGCCCCGTGTCCCGCAGCTCGAAGGTGAAGGAATATTTAATCCCCTGGTTGTAGGTCCAGTCGACGGTCGATCCACTCGCTCTGTCTGGGGGAGGAAAAAATGGGAGAGATTCAGAGCCTCGATCGCTTTGTACAGAAATCCCATGGGGTATTTGGGATGGTTTTGGCATTTGGGGGTTTTGGGGCTGCCCCAGCACTTACAGATGGTGGTGATGATGCTGCCGTACTCGTAACTGGTGCCGTACAGGGAGGACAGAGCTGCCACGGCCTTGGCAGAAATCTCGTGCTGGGAATACAGGAAACAGGGAAAGATGAGCCAAAGAAAAGAAAAACCTGTGGGATACAGCTTTTTTCTGGGTGCAACAAAGCTCCTCCCAGCTTCCCAAGGGATGCAGGACAGAGGTGGCTCCTCCTTGGAGCAGCAGAAGCGCTCCACCCCATCCCAACCCCTCAAAGCACATGGGCCTCACCAGTTCCTTGTCATCTGGCGCCGGGGTCGCGGTGTAGCCGTAAGGATAGAGCAGGAGCTGGGAATAGCTATGGATGGAGACAAAAGCCTTGATGTTGCCATGGCTCTTCACAAAGTCCACGATGGATTTCACCTCGGGCTCCGAGTTGGGGTAGGGTCCGTGGTATGTCTCCGAGCAGGAGTTTCCGCTGGCTCCAGCATCTGTGGAGAAGAGATTGGTGAGAACACAGGAGGAATTTGGGGGCTTCCAAGCCCAAGAGGTTTTCCCACCCCTCAGTTCCTTGGTGGTGATCAAGGAATGCTCCCGGGGCTCCTCCTAGAGCTTTGTATGGTGACTCACTTGTCACTGGGACATCAAAGCCCTGGTGAAGCCCAAACCCTCGGCTCTGCCACAGAGAGCAAATCCCACCTCTTCCCCAGGGGACATCAATGGATCTTTGAGCCAGAAACAACTTTGGAGCCTCCAGCTGGAGAGTGGGAACGCTCCACAGGGGCAAGGGGACAGCTCTGACCTCCAAAACCTGCGTCCCAGTTGCGGTTGGGGTCCACTCCGACACAGATGGCACCCGCGTGCTTGGACCTGGTCTTGCGCCACATGCGGTTCTGGAAGGGCAGAGCCTCCTCAGATGGTGCCCAGGGCTGGAGCTCCACAGCTCGTGGTGGGCCCCTTCCCATCCCATGGAAACGTGGGTGAGGAGGCTTTGCCCTCTCAGGGATATGCAACCCCCCAGACCCTGCTCCCCAAGCCCCATCCAGAGCAGCTGTAGGAAGCAGGGAGAGGAGATCTGGGGCAGTACCGTGGAGTGGGTGTAGGCAAAGCCATCTGGGTTGGTGACAATCTCCAGGAAGATGTCCATCGTCTCCAGGATGGAGGCCACACCTTCGTTATTCGCGTGGTCCTGGACGATCTAGAGAGGATGGAGGTTTGGGGCTCCCTGTCCTTGCTGTGGGATCACCCAGCTGGATCCCACAGCTCCTGAGGACCGGGTGGCCCTTTTGGGGTGTGTCAGTACCTTCTGGGCAAACCAGACGCCGCTGGCCTGTGTCACCCACTCGCGGGAGTGGATCCCGGTGTCGATCCAGATGGCCGGGCGGTTCGTGCCCCCTGTGCTGAACTGGGAGAGCAGAGAGAGGGGGTTAGCTTTGTCCCTGTCACCACTTTCCCCTCTGGATCACGATCCCCAAATCCTCACCTTGAGCACGTAGAGAGGACGGTTCTCGGTCGAGCGGCCAATCTCCAGCTTGCTCACCAGGTTGGGGTTCTCGGCCACCAGCATGTCCATGAAATTGTAGATCTGGGAATGAGAGATGTGGGGGTCATTCCCAGCTCAGCCCCTGCCCAAGAACAAACTTTTTCCCCCAAAATGCCCCAAATTTTGTGCTTTCCCACCTCATCTATGGTGTGGTAGGCCTCGTAGTTGAAGGTGCTGGTGTCGACGGACCGCTGGCGGCTGCTGCGGAGCATCTCCATCTGCTCTTCAGCCAGCAGGGCCTGTGGGACAAGGGTGGGATGAGCCTCGTTCCCACTGATGGGATCCCATCTCCCTCACCTTCCCTGCGGCACCGCTGACCTGCACGTCCTCGATCATGATGGAATAGGAGACCCCACTGGCCTCCAGGTGGGCTTTGACGGCCTGCAGGCTGCGGAAGGGCACGCGGATGTCCACGGGAAGTCCGAGCCTGCGGGGAGCCAGCCAGAAATCCAGCTGGATGGGGGAAAATGGAGATAAGGGGTGAGATCCTGCCTTGGGATGCACCCCCAGCACCAGTCTGTCTTGCTTTTCACCGCTTGGTTCCCATAATCCCACGTCCAACCCCATCCTTGCTTTGCTTGGGGGGGTCCCCAGAATCCACCTCCACACCCAGTACCTGCAGATGCTCCAGGTCCTGCAGCTCCTGCACCTTCTGCAGCTCCTCATCGCTCTGGGGGACGATGCGCAGCACCTGGTGCCTGTGGGGTCACGACGTGCTGAGGGGTGTGGGACGAGCTCCGGCCCCACTAGTCCAACCTAACCCCCATCCATCCCCCCATTCCAGGGATTTCCCCTGAGCCTTTTCCCTGTGCTCCCTTGGGGCTGAACCAGCTCCTTCTGCCCCACCTGGTGCCACCTCCCCATCCCAGTCCCCCTACCCAAAGAAGGTCTCGGTGCAGGTGGCCACTGCCACCAGGGCAGCCAGGAGCACGGGAAGCCTCATGGTCAGCGGGGAGAGTCGGTCTCACATCCCAGCAGTGCCCTGGGGCCTCTTAAATCCCATGGGATGGTGGCCCCAGCCCGGCCCCTCCAGCTGTCCCTTTTCCCAGGGCCTTGGGAAGGCTCTGGCCAGCCAAGGTCAGGCCCTGCTGTCCCCATCCAGGCGCTCCCAGTCCTGGCCAAACCTGTCCCAGGAACCTGCTGGGGCCGTGGTGAGTCAGCTGCCAGCCAGGTGAGACCGGGAGGTGCCAAAATCCCATAACCTCCAGCATTGGCTGAGGGGAGGGAAAGGGTCATTTTGGGTTGAGAATGTGCGAAATGCAGATTTTCACTTGGGGCTTGGTGAACTGGATCCCTAAGCCACAGCGGTGGGGAAACAGGTTTCAAATTTGGCTGAGGAAAGTGGTGTTAAGTTTGGCCCAGGACAGAGGTCAGAGCAGGTGACAGTTGTCCCAGTAGCCAAAAACAAACAGCAAATGCCCTGAGGGTACCCCATGTCCCTCCTTGTAGCCCCCTGGGAAGTCATGATGGAACTAAGCTGCTCAAAACCCCACAAATTTGGGGCTGCTTGCCCAAAAATCCTCATCTCCTCCCATACTTGCTGTTGGCTCCAAAGGATGGGGACTTTGAGCCAAAGTCACAAGGGGAAAATCAACACCTGCGGGACTGGGAGTCCTTTTCCACCCTTTTTTTGGAGTTTAGCATGAAAACAATGAGGGTGCCTGAAACCACTGAATCTCCATGAAGATTTATTGAGAGGAGGGAATGCTGTGGGAGGTGCTGGGGTCAGTATGGATGCTCCAGGACGTGGACCATGATGTCCAGGAGTGCCGGCCACGTCTCGGTGGCAGTGGGGACGATCTGGGAGCTGGGCAGGAGGAATCCATAGCGCCCCGAGTCCCTCAGCTCCAAGGTGAAGGAATATTTCACCCCGTTGTCATAGGCCCAGTCGATGGTGGTGCCTCCTGCCATGTCTGCAGGGAGAGGAGACCAGATGGGAGCCCATTCCCGAGGGATTTGCTGCGGGATGAGGGAGGGACACTCACAGATGGTGTTGGCAATGCTGCCGTAGGTGTATTTTGTCCCGAACACGGCGGCCAAGTCGCTCACGGCCTT